GCCAGCAGAGGGAGCCCTCGCCCGAGTACTGACCGTGCTCCACTCCCTATGCTTCCTCTACTTCCATTTCCTGTTTAACTCTCATATAAACTGAGACCAGTCCATATGCTGGTCGCGAAGTATTGCCAGTTCATCTGCCTTACCAAGCGTTATAGTTCCTCTGTTGCTGACTGATTCCTGTGTATGATTCTGCCTGACTTCTTGACTCACGGTATAGAAGCCGCAGCGTGTGAACGCGCCGCCATCTTGAGGGAGGATTCTAACCAAACTCATCTTCCGCTCATGGATTCTAACCAAACTCCAGCGTCTGTTACAGTTTCATACGGATTACATAATCTGAGAATATTTGTCTTCCATTTGAATTGGTTCATTTGAAAGTAGACATTTCACTCTCTATAGATGTATTTTTTATGTCTGTAAGGCAAAGATATACATGGAATTTCGCTCCCACCACCTCTACTCCGTGTGCTTCTGTGCAAAGGCCCGGTGCACCCAGGATGCGATCTTCCCAGATGTCCTTCACTTCGGTGCCAGGACACCACGGACCCTGGGTGCACCTGCAGCGGAAGACGTGAGCTAGGCCCCGGGCGAGGACATCTCCCCCTCCGCCACCTCTGGTCTTCGAGATCTCCACCCGGAACTGCTTCGCACCCCTCCGCGACGCTGTGATCGTCGGAGACTCCATTGTTCGGCACGTCCGTGCTACGTTAGCTGAAGGTAAAGTGCACACTCACTGTTTCCCTGGTGCTCATCTTCTCGATGTTTCTGCACAGATACCCGCGATACTGAAGGGCGACGAGAGCATCGGAGCGGTCGTGCTGCATGCAGGGGTTAACGACACCAAGCTGCGGCAGACGGAAACACTGAAGAGGGACTTCAGGAGCCTGATCGAGACGGTGCGCAGCACATCACCCGCAATGACGATCATCATGTCAGGACCGCTTCCAATGTATCGACGAGGACACAAAAGGTTCTGTAGACTTTTTGCTTTAAACGAATGGTTATTGTCATGGTGTAAAGAACAGAAACTGCTCTTTATTAATAACTGGAATCTTTTCTGAGAGAGATCTAGGCTTTTTCATGCTGATGGATTGCACCCTAGCAGAGTCGGAGTGGAACTCCTGTCGGACAACATCTCCAGGACGCTACGCTCCATATGACTAGTAAGCCAATTCTCGAATAACTGCCATGATGGCTGAATTTTTTAAGTTTGGGCTCCTAAACATTAGATCACTCGCACCCAAAGCAGTTATTGTAAACTCACCGGGCCCACTCAACATTTTAATCATACACTAGATTTAATTATATCGCATGGAATTGATCTTACTGATAATGGTATTGTACCTCAAAGTGATGATGTTACTGACCATTTCCTTGTATCGTGCATGCTGCATTTTAATGATATTAACTATATGGCTCCGCGTTATCGTCCGGGCAGAACTATTGTTCAAGCCACCAAAGACAGATTCACAAATAACCTGCCTAATTTATCTCAACTGCTCTATGTACCCATAAACACATATGAACTAGACGAAATGACTAGCAACATTGGCACTATCTTCTCTAATACATTAGAGGCTGTTGCCCCCATCAAATTGAAAAAAGGTTTTGAGAAAAACGTACTGTGCCATGGTACAACAATGATACCCATTCTCTCAAGAAAGAAACTCGTAATCTTGAGCACAAATGCAGAAAATCTAACTTGGAAGTTTTTAGAATTGTGTGGAAAGACAGTATGACCAGCTATAGACAGGCTCTAAAAGCTGCCAGGGCCGAGCATATCCGCAAACTCATAGAAAATAACCAAAACAATCCTAGGTTTTTATTTAGCACAGTGGCTAGATTAACAAATAACCAGACGCCACCCGATCTAAATATTCCCTCACAGTTTAATAGTAATGACTTTATGAATTTCTTCACTGATAAAATAGATAACATCAGAAATACAATAGCAAATGTAGATTCTACAGCGTCTAGTACTTCAGCTCCATTTATCGCACCCAAAGAAAAATTGCAGTGCTTTACAAATACAGGACAGGATGAGCTAAATAAACTTATTACTGCATCTAAACCAACAACATGCCTACTAGATCCTGTACCCACTAAATTACTGCAAGAGTTGTTACCTGTAGCAGAAGAACCACTTCTCAATATTATTAACTCATCGTTATCTGTAGGTTACGTCCCAAAACCATTCAAGCTTGTGGTTATTAAGCCTTATATTAAGAAACCACAACTAGATCCTAATGAACTGGCAAATTACAGACCCATTTCAAATCTTCCGTTTATGTCCGAATCTCGTGGATTACAGTTTGCAACTAGATGGATGTACTGTTACTTCCTCTACAGTCAAAAATCTGGGTGTTATATTAGACAGCAACTTGTCTTGTTATCTTGTTATTAAACAATATCATATTTCCCATGTTACAAAAACAACATTCTTCTATCTTAGAAACATTGCCAAGTTACAAAACATGTTATCTGTTTCTGATGCAGAAAAGCTAGTTCATGCATTCATGACCTCTAGACTGGACTATTGTAATGCACTGCTAGGTGGTTGTCCTGCATCTTCAATAAACAAGCTACAGGTAGTCCAAAATGCAGTGGTTAGAGTCCTTACCAGGTCAAGAAAAAATGATCATATTACCCCAATTTTACAGTCTCTGCAATGGCTTACAAAATATTATTACTTACCTACAAGGCCCTTAGCTCCTGCGTACCTAACTAGTCTTCTACCACGCTACAATCCATCACGCTCCCTAAGGTCGCAAAACTCTGGACTTTTGGTAGTACCTAGTATAGCAAAGTCCACTAAGGGAGGTAGAGCTTTTTCACATTTGGCTCCCAAACTCTGGAATAGCCTTCCTGATAACGTGCGGGGTTCAGACACACTCTCTCTGTTTAAATCTAGATTAAAGACACATCTCCTTGGCCAAGCATTCAAATAATGCATCTCATAATCTTGTACTGCATAGATCTGATCAAATGCACATTATTATTCCTTAGCTTGGGTTGAACAAATAATTCGTGCTTGCTTTGAACAGCAGCTACGCTAATTATGATGACCGAACACCTGAGAAGAGATGATGCAAACCCCTCAGAGAACCTCAGATGATGCCAACCCTGAAACAACATAAACTACCAAATTTTGCTACAAGTTTGATTGCAACATATGATCATTGCTGTTAATAGTGTTCTTCGTCTGTCTCGATTTGTATCGTGAAAAGAGCTATACAAATAAACTTGAATTTAATTGAATTGAAAGTAGGAAGGTGTTTACCTGTGAGAAGTGAAGAGAAAATGATCAGTCCCAGCAGACACAGATCACACTTATCAGCCATCTTCTCTTTCTGCCAGTCATTCCAGATCCTCAGCAGATTCTACAGTTGAGATGTTGAGACTGATACACAATTCAACGTGCTAAAAGAAAAAAAGAGGACCTGCCAACAGAGTTAATTCCCATCAGTCTAATCTGGGTTGAGGGTTGATCTCTGCTTTACTGTGGTCAAACTAACTGAGTTCTCACACTCAGCAGTAACATGTTTCCAAACCTCAACAGTGAGATCACCACTCTGAAAACACTGCAGGAAACATGTAATATCACACTAGGTGCAAAGCTTACCACCTTGAGCCATCTTGCTCAATTAAAACTAGACAAAAGGTTCCGCAAAGATGTGAATACAATACACAGACTAGACCAAGGCCTGTGATACACTAGACACACATTTTCAAATCTTAACCAATTTTAAAACTGGTGGAGCCCAGAGACTTGAGGACAATTGCAACCAACATTTAACATTATAATACTCTGAACGCACACACTACACGATTCGGCCAGACCATGAGACCATACACCTGCTGATTGTAGTTTCATTTTCACATTGAGACGAGAGAGACTCACGAGATCAAAACAAGTCAGGACGATCAGTATTGTCAGCTGGTTCTCACTGGCTATCGTGGGTGTCACGTCAGAGGAGCCCAATCAAGACTCCTAAATATCAAACATGTCTGATATTTATGATTGGGGATTGTGCGGGCTCTGACCCGATCAGGAGCAGTAAAATAATCATAATAACACCATGCAATTGAAGATTTTTTGGACAAAAAGTTGTTTGTGACAAGCCTCAAATCTTTCCCCGCCTCTTGTATTAATCAATAGGTGATCACAGTCTTCTTAAATTTAGTGCATCTCTTCTGAGTTATTAATGTTACAGCTGATGTGTGTGTTTGGTGTCTGAGAGGTGACTGATGGTCTGATCCATAGACTGTAACAAAGATGGACGATGCACCTTCACTCTCTTCCATTGAGGAAATGTGAAGCCACCAGTGTCCCAATAGAGTGCGGACATATTGCGCTGATTTGGGACCTGAGTCTGTGCAGTAGTGAGTGAAGAGGAGCCACGTCCCGCCCAAAACTCCTGCAGAGACGATTACAATCACACGCCCCTGACCAATTTTTAATTAGACTGACTTCTCCAATTTCTGTCTGCTGATTGCCGTACAAGAGGCTTGTGTTAAAATAAGGTAAACAAAATTCCAATCTCCTCCTGAAGACCCCGCAAAAGTTTGTTGTCACCTCAGTTTGCTCAGAGAAGCTGTCAATCTCAGCTGTCAATCATGACGTCACACTCCTGTTTTTATAGCATCACATAACTAACTAAAACCAAACTTATTTTAAAAGCGAACACTTACATCAGTATGATAAAAATTACATAAAATTACAAAAAACATCTTTGGAACATTTTTTATAGTGAAATTTTATTATTTAGCTTGTTTCACGTCCCATTAGATACATGGAGAGGGCGGGGTTTATGAGCTATACTGTGACCAGCCACCTGGGGTGATCAAAATGTTTTGGCTTCACTTTTCAGGACTTGTGTGGCACGCTTGGTCTTGGTCTCAAACTTGCACTCATGTTTATGCTAATAACTTTTGAACTCTAAGGGATAGAAACAAAATTAATTGAATTTTCCATCATGCATTTTTTTTTTTTTTTTTTTTTTTTCC